GCCAAGCCAACTCATTGGTTTTCAATCTTTCTACCTATAATGCAGTAAGAACCCGCTTGGTGATGACAGAACACTGAACTGTCTAAGTCTTGTGATTACACAACACATAAAATGGGCGAGTCCTCACCTGAATTCAACCACAACCTTCTGTTTTGGGACACCAGAGAATAGTTCACTCTTTAATCCATATTTTGAACCGTCTTCAATTACTTGTTGTAGCACTGTCTAAAAAGTAAAAGAAGTATCATTTAATGATAGAAAAAACCTGCAATGTTATTACTTTGTTACTTGGAATTACATGCTGTTAACATGTTCACTCTTAATTTATGGGACTGTGACTTTTATAGCATCATCAGCAGGATCACTCTTCCGCTGCTAACGCTAATCAGAGTAGTGATTAAATGAATTTCCATTTATTGGGGCCCTTTTATATATCTTATCTTTGCATCCTTACAGAAATGAATCATATAGATATCTCACAGATAAGGAAATTAAAGCTTGATGATATTAACTACCAAAAGTCCCCCACACAGCAAATAACAAAATGCATTGTTATTTTATTGCATCAAACATTTATTGAAAGCATACTATGTGTTAGGCACTGTCTTAAGCGTTTTAGATGCATTAGCTCATTTATCTCACAACAGCCTTAAGTACTATTTTCACAAACAAGGAAAGACAAACAGAAAGGTTAAGTAACTTTCTCAAAGTCATACTGCTGTTAAGTTATGTGGCAAAAACTCTTCCTACTCCAAAGCTAATATATTAACTACTGCATGCTGCTGTTGGTGCTTCTGTGATACAAAAGACTACTAACAACGGTAGGAAAAAAACAAACAAACATGTAATTAATTGCCTATTTGATACTTAAGTAAAAAAACTAAGCTTACAGAAACTTTCAAAATATATTCCAAGTTAATTTTTAGTTATTACATAGAATTATCATATAGTTCACAAAATTCATACTTTATTTTTCATTAATGCATGAAATTATATTTTTCATTTTTGTAAAATGTTGGATTTTGAAACAATGTGATTATACTTTTATTTACTTTTATAGTGGTTTTGATTTCTCACTGAACCTAGAGTCCTAAAAATGTGGTTTACAATATGATTCAGAACTTTATTATCAAAGAGTTGGTTAAGATGGTCACTAAATGGAAAGGCAGAGAAGACACAACAATCAACATTTAAGAAGTTTCTAGTGAACTGGGTCTAAGACCAGGTGCTTCTGTGGTATATGTTCTCTTTAAGACTCATTAAGATGTGCAAAAGTTCCCATTTAATAGAAGAAAAATAAGGTCCGAAAACAGTATATATCTGTACAAGGGAACAGAAGATAATTTTCACTCACACTGTGTAGTAGGAAATGGAGAAAAAGGATTAATATGATACATAGTCATTCAATAAAACAGTGTCTGTCACAGATAAGGGGTTAAGTTATCTTAACAAATGCAATTCCTCCATGAAAAATGTAAGTGGAGGGGTAAAAGAATACAAGTGGGGGGAATCCATATTCAGATTACTGTAAATTCTAAGTCTACAAATCTTTTTCACTTCCCATCTCTTTTTATACAGAAATGTAGACTCCATAAAAGTTAAGAGCAGTAAGTTAGAATTCTCTTTAACAAATGATTTTCCCCTTCCACTGATACCTCTGGCACAAAGCAAAAAGCAGCTTTAATAAAAAACTATCTTATAATCGCTTCTCAGCCTTTTGGCTAAGATCAAGTGTCAAAAACTATCTTATATACTCTATTTCCAAACTGTCCATTGACAGTCTGACCTACCTGCTATCTACTTACTTTCTCTACTATTTCACCAAAACTGTTCTCAGAAGCAATATGCTAAGTACCAAATTCAGTTGAATACTTATATTTTGTTTAATATATTACATTTATTGATCCATTTCTTTAAATAAAAAAAATTATTTTTTAGGAGAAGGCTAAAGTCTAAAGTCCCTTTGATCATCTGTCCACTAGTCCTTATCCTGGCCTCTTCCTCCCTTCCCGAGGGATAACCTATTTTTGAATATTGCCTTAGTTGGTGACTATCCCTGTCTCCTTGCAACTATCCTCCCCTCTTGGGTGTAAAGATACCACATGCTCCTTTTGCTTCTCAGTTTCCTTTGCAGGCTCTTCTACCATCTGCCCTTCATATGCACTCTGTAATGCATTCTTCCTTCTAGCTTCTCCCTTTACACTTCCAGCTGACTTAAACCTTTCCCCGAGGGGAAAGGTAGTCAAGTACAATTTACCAATCTATCACTGTTATGCTGCAGATTGATACTGGGCCCGTCTCTCAAGCACTTCAAATGCAATATACTGGCTCTTCCTTCTACTGACCATTTCCATGAATTTCACTCCCACTCACCCAGCTAACCAACTCAGAAACCTAGGAGTTCCTAACCTCCCTAATCAATTATCTATTAATCTACATATGCTATCACTTAAATACCATAAATATCATTCTGGTTTAGGCCCTCATCTGTCAGTCATACCACTACAAAAACAACAGTTTTATGCCGAATCATGTTGCTTCTGGTCAAAGACAAACCAAATATATAACGGTAATCCATAAGATTATAATGGAGCTGAAAAATTCTTATAGCTAGTGATGTCACAGTCTATAGAGGATTAAACATCATACTTACTACAACAGTCATCAATATCATAACTCATCTGAGGAATTACTGAGAACAAGACATTTTCCTGGCAAGTCGAGAAATCTCTTGTGACTTGGAAGGCAAGCCACCAAGTAACTCAGTAATCCTGGAGGAGCAAGGTTCAGTGCTGTAGTAGTAAGGCTATTGTTAAACATTAAGCATTTTATGACAGTTCCTTAAAGGATTAGGGCAGAAAAATTGCATTTAGTATTTTAGAGATCATTTCCTTATCACCCTTGAAGATCATTTCCTTGAGTACATACTCTTGGCACCTATGAGATCATTTCCCTGAGCACACAGCCCCTGCATGTCTTTACTTAGTAATCTTTCTGCCTATTGTGTATCTTCTCAATAAAAGGACTCCGTGAGAAGTGCTCAGACATCATGCTATAACAGCTCAATGCATTACTCACCTGTTTGTGGTAATGCTGCTATAAACACACTGGGCTGCCAGTCATATAAAGTATACAGCACATACAATTATGTATAGTACATAATTCTTGATAACTGTTACTGGTTTACATATCTATTACACTATACATTTTATCCCTAGAGTATATTCCTTCTGCTTATTTAAAAAAAAAACAGTTAACTGTAAAACAGACTCAGACACTTTGGGAAGTATTCCAGAAAGCATTATTACCACAGGAGATGACAACTCCATGTGTGTTACTGCCCTCCATGAGATGTGGAGGTGAAAGACATCGATACTGCTGACTCTGACGCTGGGCAGGCCCAGGCTAATGTGTGTGCTATGTTTTAGTTTTTAACAAAAAAGTTTTTAAAAAGTATTTCACAATAGAAGAAAGCTATAAGACATACAAAAGATATAAAAAAAGAAAACATTTTGGTATAGCTGTACGTATGCTTGTGTTTTAAGCTAAGTGTTTTTATAAAAGAGTCAAAAAGTTAAACTTAAAAGTTTATAAAATAAAAATTTTACAGTAAACTAAGGGTAATTCATTATTGATATAGGAAAACTATTTTCCTAAAATTAGTATAGCCTAAGTATACAGGGTTTATAAACTCTACAGTAGTACACAATAATAACCTAGGCCTTCACATTCACTCACTGACTCACTCAGAGCAACTTCCAGTTCTGTAAACTACACTGTTAAGTATCCTGTATAGGTGTACTATTTTTTATTTTTTATCCCGTATTGTCACTGTTCCTTTTCCGTTTAGATATGTTGGAATACACAAATACTTAACCACTGTGTTATAATCACCTACACTATAGCATTCAGTTTGGAATTTGCAGTATTCAGTTCACGTTTGCAGCCTTGGAACAGCAGGCTATGCCATACAGCATAGGTGTGTAGTAGGCTACCACCTAATTTGTTTAAGTACCCAGTATGTTTATACAATAAAATCACCTACAGTCACATTTCTCAAAATGTATCCCCACTGTTAAGTAATTCATGACTACACAACAAAACAATACCACCTATCTTTTTATATAACACACATTTAATCAAATGTATATTTTTATTCAAATTCTTGAATGATTCTTTACCATTTAAAAGATTTTACCTGGGCCGGGCCCACAGTGGCTCACAACTGTAATCCTAGCACTCTGGGAGGCTGAGGCAGGGGAATTGTCTGAGCTCAGGAGTTTGAGATCAGCCTGTGCCAGAATGAGACTGTGTCTAAAAACACCCAGATGTTGTGGAGGGCGCCTGTAGTCCCACCGGCTTGAGAAGCTAAGGCAAGAAGATAACTTGAGCCCAGGAGGTTAAGGTTGCTGAGCTATGATGCCACAGAACTCTACCAAGTGTGACAAAGTGAGACTCTAGTCTTGGTAGGGGAGTAGATTTTACCTATTTTGGATCTGTACAGGCATATCACCTTTTAAAACTTAAATGAATTTTTTTTGTTAAAAGGCATACTGTAATATCCATAAAAATAAAAAGTTAGAAGTGCTAGGGTTTTTTTTTTTTTTTTTTT